TTATTTGTTGCTAACAACATTATTTTTTTTCAGATACCTTGCTTTTTTATCGTTCCGGCTGCTGTATTATCCGATTCTTGTGTGTTGGTTGGTTTATCGGAAGCTTTAGTGCAAGATGTTAGAAGAAAAACTTATAGCAGAAATTGAAAAACACAACTGCTTGTGGGACAAAAGACAGCTTAGTTACCGCGATCGGGTGAAGAAGGATTTGGCTTGGAGAAATGTAGCTGCTGCTGTGGGACATCCTGGTTAGTATAGATTTTTTCAAATTTATAGCAGTTTTGTAATAGGACGAACCAAATTATAACAAATTTGTGACGAATAATTGTGACGAATACTATATTTTTACTTCACAGAGGAAAACTGCCGAAAGCGATGGAAATCGTTAAGAGACCGATATGGAATAGAATCGAAGGTTCATCAACAACCAAGCGGAAGTGCTGCGTCGTTTAGACGAACTTGCCCTTATTTCGAAGCTATGTTGTTTTTGAAAGACACGGTCACGCCCAGACAGTAAGTGTACTTTACATTTGTACAACAAGTATTTATATTTTAAATTGTAATTTATATGTACATATTTTAAGGACAACAACAAACATCGTCTCCCAAACGCCAGAAGTTCTCGGACAAGAACCAGATATACTGGATACTTCCTTTGGATTCCAAATAGGCGAGAGTGGGAACATTATAATAGAAGAGCAAGAAACCACTGCCCCAACGCCGGCTAAGAGACAAAAGAAAAAAAACGATGAGAACGCCGCCTTTAACGATCTAGTCAACGAAGTAAGTCAGTTTGTGGATAGTCAAAAAAAAAAAAACACACACAACAATTTCTTGGGTGCGATTGGCGAAGTGTTTGAGAAGGTCCCAGAAGAGAGCCGCCTAGATTTTCAAATGGACGTCTTCAATACGTCTATGCTCAATATAAAAATTGAATTTACGAAATTTAAAAATTTAAATGACATCCAGTTTGATTTCAATTTTGCGAACTTAGTATGTAATCTAATTTAGTATGAAATCTGATTTTAATTTTGCGAGCTAAATATGTATTTGATATGCAATCTCACAGAAAATGCTTGCTATAATTTCGTTGTTTCTAATCAAACAAAATTTAACATATTTTTAAAGAAAATATTCAGGATATTATTCCAAACGCGTGGTTTTCGATGCAAGTTTACGAGGCTTACGCGGTTACGAGGCATTTAAATAAATAACCTGGATATTTTCTTTAAAAAATGTACAATTGTGTTTGATTAGAAACAATGAAATTATAGCAAAAACGACGCTGTGTTTTTTGTTTTGCACATAACTGTAAGTTTAATACTTACCTTGAACAAAAGATAATTTTAATGACTTGTGAAATATTCATGCCAATTACGGTCTTGAGAAGCAACACATTCAGGATATTGTGCAAATTTTATGTATGCTATCATGGTAGCTGTTTGTATTTTGTTGTGAATTTACAAATGCACTGAAATATGTAAATGCAAGATCCTATGGACAAGATCCTGAACGGCCCTATTATTTAAAAGACTAAAAAGTAGACTGTTTGTAACAACTTTTGTTTTATAAATAGGCAATACTTAAGTACCTTAAAAAGAAACATATTACTTAAAAGACTAAGAAGTAAATTGTTTGTAATTCACTTTTGTTTTATAAATACGCCATATTTACAGTGGTCGAAAAAATTATAGTCGCACCATATTTGACAAGTTTTAACATTTTTTTTTTAATTTTAGTAACTTTTTCATAAAAATATAGTTAATTCTTTAACAAAGCCCGTGTAAAAAATCCCGTTTTATAAAAAAGTCAAAATTAAAAAATAATATGTTAAAACTTGTCAAATATAGTGGGGCTATAATTTGTTTGACCACTGTATGTACCTTAAAAAGAAACAAAACAATTAAAAGACTGAAAGGTATATTGTTTGTAACCACTATACTGTTTAAAACGGTTTTAACTTAAAATACTGAATGAAATATATGTTATGTTAACGCCATACTTACCTTGAACAAAAATTAATTTAAAAACCTGAAAGATGTGACGACATTTAAAACATTACCAATAAGTGCCCTCATACTGTGAGTTCAAATTTTTGTTTTCTATCTTAAATAATAAAAACAAAGCATATTCAGTGAGTAGTAATTATTTAAATTTTATCGTTAAAAAGATGTGTCTTCAGAGCATCCCTTAAATCATAATTATTTGAACTGCCTCGGTTCGATGACACCCTACTTATTGAGGGCAATGGAACTACTTCGTTTCGCCATGAGCCAGCGATGGTGGCATCCTCTTCGTAGCGATCAACAAAATCGCTTGCTACATAGTTTGCACACGAAAGCTTAATAAAATTATGCAAGACAATACAAGCTTTCACTATTTGTTCTGCATTTTTCGGGGCCATGCATAGCGTCGTTCTCAATATTCTCCATTTGGCAGTGAGTATTCCAAATGCGTTTTCTATAACTCTTCTTGCACGAGAGAGTCTTTTATTGAAATACTCTTGCTCTTCTGGAATACCTCTACCCGGATATGGTCGCATTAAATAACGCCGTAAGGGAAAGGCTGCATCTCCTACTAAATAATGTGGAAATGGCTCGGTTTCTCCTGGCAGAGGCTGATCATGTGGAAGGCCGAGCCTATCATTTTCAATAGCATCTGCCAGTTTTGAAAAGTGGTAGACACCGCCATCGCTTTGACTTCCATATGCTCCGATGTCAACGCCGGTAAAGGTATAATTGGCATCACATACGGCCAAAAGCACGATACTATAATTGCCTTTGTAATTATAGTACATCGACCCTGAATTTGCTGGACAGGTAATATTAATGTGCTTTCCGTCGATGGAACCAACGCAGTTGGGCATATTCCACAGCGACTTGAACTCATTGGAAATACGTCCCCATTCCGTTTCTGACGGGGTCGCCACATACAGGTCAGCTAACAGATCCCATATGGTCATACATGTCTCCAACGTAATCTTCCTGAAAGTCGTCAGGCCGATCCTGTGAACTATTGTGTGGAATTGCCGAGTGCCACCGTGAGCCAAATATCTGCAACAAAAAAATAAAACCAGATACATATATGGAAAATTATACGTATACTATTAAGTAAAACCGATTTTCTCTTACATCAGGGTTATAAATAGTCTGCAGCGACTCGATATTGGTGTTCTGATTGAATATTTGGTCAGCGAAGCCTCCAGAAATTCGTGCAGCACATTAAATAACGAAAAGGGCATTCTTAATGTCTTGTTAAACTGCTCCTCATCTGCAGCCAAGTTTCTTAATGAACTTTCAAACAATCCATATTTGTGTCGCTCTAAGTACAATTTCCGAACCCAAAATCGGCGCTTCTGTTTTAATCGCAGTTTTAATTTACGCATTTTCGCTAAAATTAGGAAAATTCTCAAAACTTGTTTAGCATTTCGAGTCAACATTTTGTACTGCCAAATGAAACTTTATGAAAACCAACGAATCTGGTGGCCGGAACGATAAAAAGCAAGGTATCTGAAAAAAAATTATGTTGTTAGCAACAAATAATTGTTTAATATAAACTCTTTTACCTCC